TTTTAAACGGTAACTGTAACAGAATACAGTTACTCATATTTTGTATTTTAAATACGTAACGGCGGTACATGTATTCCGTTACTCCCAACACTGAACATGACCAATAACACATTTAGCTCTGTGGGAGTGGGAGCATATTCGAGCTGACAATGACAGTGCACCACAGACATGCAACCTGTGTCCTACGCTTTTATCCCATGTCTTCTGTCCTTTTTGGTATTCCAGACAGAAGAAATGATCCAAAGACTGTCAAAAATTCTGTCAACGCCAGTGGAGAAGCAGCTATACCTTAGAGAGGTCATTTTACCAGAGGTGAGCTGAGAACAAAAAGTATCAAAGATCAAAAAAATGTTGTAGATATTCTGAATGAATTATATGTGTCAGAAACAGACAAGCGTAATTTAGGACATGTGGTTTTTACTATAATTCATTTTTTGAACGGAGAATGAAAACTGCAGAACTTCAAGCGAACATCTATACAAGAAATGCAGCTTAAAGGTGGTAACTTTAACTTTATTGTTGTTAAGGTTTTGATTCGATGGTTGCAAAGCAGCGGGAAAATGTGCAGATACCAAGCTGAATTTATACTTCTGAAGGGCACATCTTACAAAGGGATGGGAATGTAAGTTCCATTGTTTACATTGTTGGTTTACTCACAGTTTAATCTGATGACTGAGTGAGGCAAAGGATAATTACTCATGTTTGTATTTTTGTTTTTTCTTAATCGGTACAAGAGCGACAACAGCTGGTGATTCTGGACAAATAGAAGATGTAAGAGAAAACACACAGACACACTAAAAATTACACAGCAAAACACTTTGTGTAAAAATCTACACTCGAGTGTCCTTGTGTGTGAGTTTCAACTTGCAAGTTAAAAAAAGAGGAAGGCAAAGTCTGTGATGTACGAGCATTGTTCTGTATTTTACATTTAATGGTATTAATACTGTCAACACTTTTTTTCTGCAGGAAAACACTTTTCAAAGTGACTGCAAAGCTGCGGCTGCTTTTTGCTACAACAAGGACTTTGATGGAAAAATTGACCTTCCTGAGGTCAAATTGGAACAAGAAGAAACCCTGCATGACATGCAGATCCAGGAGGGTGGTCACCATGACGATTCCCAAGGAGAAAATGTCACATTTGTATATCAAAAAAGCGTTGACAGTGACAGCGCTGAGACAGAACTTACAATTTCTAAAGAAATCTTAGCCATGTTCAAGACAGAAAATGAAATTCCTGACCTTAACCTTTTAGGTCCTAACTTTAAAAGTACTGGTCAGTGGTTGTTGATCAATGATCATGAGAATTTGCATAATTAAGATTAAGGAACTGACCTCCCAGCCCATTGTTCCTTCACTGGGCTGGTTTCAGTCATTATGCAAATTTACGGTTTATAAGATTTGGGGAAACCTGCAGTCAGCTGAGACTGAAGAAGTCACTTGGATGAGTGACGAAACATTTCTCCCACAAAACGCTACGTCCAGATGAACAGAATCAACCTTTGGAGATTTACTTTCCTGGATGATTGAGAATGCATCAAGACGTTTATAAGTACTTGATTTCTGGTTTATGTTTGTTTCTCTTCAGTCTGTCTTTTGGGTGGCTGTGGCTCAGGAGGTTGACCAGGTCACGGACTAATCAGTTTTTTGGTTTAATCCTCAACTGCTGCAGTCCTGCATGCCAAATATCCTGGGGCAAGATAGTAACCCCAAGTTGCTTTTATATGAATATGAAAGCATGTGCATGTAAGATAGAATACACTTACTTAGGAAAAGCGTTTTTAACAAGTGTATGGATGAAGTAAATTGTGCAAAATCATTTTAAATGCTCAGACTTGAAGAACCAGTCCATTTACCAGTCAGTGTCCATTTGTCTACCTCTGATTCCTGAGTGCCCCGTCTGTGTCTGGCCTTTATGCTCCGTCTACGTGAATACCTTTGTTGTACCTTATCCCTGTATTTTCTCCCTTCCTGTTCCCAGGTTAATCTCTCTGTCTTTTCCTCTGTGTCTCCCTAGTTTGTCATGCCTACAAAACAGACATTTCAACACTGTGTTAAGCTTCTGAAGCACAGATGTTTTGAAACACTGCTCCAAAGCCTGGTTCAAAGCACACAGGGCACGTGACTACAACTAAATGAAGTGTTGCTACCGCAGTTTCGGCAAGTGTCTTACCTGCTGCTTCGAAGCATAGCCAGTCGCAACGATTCACATTTTTCTATTAACCAGAGTCTTTAGGACTTGTAATTATTGAATTAATGCTTATGATACAACTGTGAATGTATGAAACAAAATTTTGCACTCTCTCATTATTATTTTTGCTGTGGACTGTAAAGACCAAAATAGACTATCCGCTCAATGAAACGCTGGAATTCAAAGTGTAATTAAACAAACATTATTTAAATAGATAGAAATAATATATAAACATTTTACTTTAATGTTTACTGGCACATAGATGAGAGAAAGCTAGAGACAGAGACTGGTGGGTGGGCTTCATCCCCTCCCATCAGCAGAGCGATAGCAGCTCTAGTTTTTTCAACTTTCTGATGTTCTACACACATAAATAATATATTTATAAATTTAAAAAATGCTAAACGAACATATTTATCAATTACAGGGGATGTATTTCTTAACATTTTTTCTGACAAATGTTTTTTTTCTTTTCCTTTTTTATTCTCACTGATGCTCCATTTGTTAATACCTCAAAAACAACAGGAGTGATGCAGTTTCACTCCAACCTCACCATAAACATCATGCCAGTGTTACAAAACATACAGCAACCGAAGCAGTGTGAACTTCATCCTATTTCTTTTCTAGCATATACATTGTGTTGACATAGAGATATTCATGTATTTAAGCTCACAAATTAGTATGAGTGTGGGTGTTGTGTGTATATACTGTCTACATCCCCCTCACTGTATTTGCAGTTTCTGTCTGTCAGTTTTCCTGTTAGCTGATTTGATCTGTATTGATCTTTTTTCCCATCATTTAATCAATAAAGCTGTTTTTTTTTTTTTAAATTTAGTTCTGTTTGCCATGTCGTGCTTTCAGGGTCCTTACGCTGTCATCCACACAACATCTCTCATGACAGTTCGCACGTAATGGTGTTATTAGTATTTCTTGTGTTATCTGAATCATTCTGACCTTTTGAAATAGTTGATGCGTTGATGCTAATGCTTTGAAAGAATCCGAATCCTTTATTATAGTAATATCCTTGGGCACGACACTTTACCCTACCACATACTGGTGATGGCCAGAGGGGCCGATGGTGCGATATGGCAGCATCGCTTCTGTCAGTCTGCCCCAGGGCAGCTGTGGCTACAACTGTAGCTGCCCAAGCCTCCACCAGTGTGTGAATGGGAGAGTGAATGAATAGTTGAATTGTAAAGCGCTTTGAGGGTCTTGAAAAGCGCTGTATAAATGCAATGTCAAAGGAGCTTGCAAAGAAAAGTGTCTGGACTTCTTTAAGTTGCTTGAAGATGTTTCACCTCTCATCCGAGAAGCTTCTTCAGTTCTAAGGTCAAATGGTGGAGAGTCCCAGATATAAACCTAGTGGGAGTGTCCCCCCACAGAGGGACAAAAGGACCCCCTGATGATCCTCTAATCGCCTGAGCCAAGGTGTGAAACTGGGTGTGGGTCCCAATCAGCCAGAGTTTCGGGTGAGCTCATTGTGAAACCTGGCCCTACCTTCTCATGCGAATTCCTGAGGTCAGATGGCCCAGGATGTGAGTGGGCGTTAAGACGTCTGGGGAGGGAACTCAAAACTGGATTATAGATGGCAGACAGTTGATGTTGTAAACCACTGTCTGCCATCTATAATCCAGTTTTGACTACAATGACCTGGATGACTGAGAACCTTCACAGACGTATAAATGCAATCCATTATTATTATTATTATTATTAACTAATGTATTCAAGCTGCAAATCACTACAACAGTCACCTCAAGGCACATTTACTGTAAGGTGCAGACAGGGCTGGACTGGGACAAAGAAATCGGCCCGGGCATTTTGACTAGAGACCGGCCCACCAGGTATTACAGGAAAAGCCATAAAGCATTTGAATGAAAACACACGCTGTTGTGACAGTGATGTACACTGTCTTGTTGGTATATGTATGATTTCTATACATTTTACATCAGATAAAAACTTTTGTCCCTGTTAATGCCCTACCTGGCCCCCTGGCAACACTTTGCTAGATCCGCCCCTGCACACCTACCAGCTGTCAGCGACATAAAAAAAGGATCCTGGTGTTATTTGTCTCTCAGAAACAGTTCATAACTTCCCTTCAACTCATTCATGTCACCTAAAAGGTAAACCTGTTTCTCCATCACCTGTTCA